ACTTCAGTACATTTATAAACGTGTATAAATTTTTATTGCTATATGCCTTCAGGTATGTACAATCCACCACTAAACTTGGTTTATACTCGATACACGGCATAACGTATGCGCCCGACGTGGGAAGCCTAAATTCTGGTGCAAATTGTACACGCATATAGTTGCGTACTGCAGTGCTTATCTCAGTATATGCACACACTTCAAAGCATTTATATACGTTTATATACGTGTATGCATCAGAATATCTCTACAATGTTCCGTGAGCGCACATCATAGCCAAATGTGCGACCTCTGTCTAAAACATCGAATAATCTGTGTCGCAGACGCACTACTGAACTGTACTGCCGATAATTTATATCATGGGCGAGTCCAATTCCCAATACAAAGGATGTAGTAGCTCATCGGACAGCTTACCTCCGTGTGCAAATAACTTTTTAATAATTTACATACATACATGTACACATATATATATATATATATAATTAATCGCACCATATAGTATATACTCGTCACGCACACCATACCGAATGCATCCGACATGGCCTGTCCAATCCCCAAAGCCAGGGCATCGGTCCATAAAGTGGCGCACTGGGCAGTGGGGGCCACAAACTGCAACACCTGTTGTTTTAGACCCGGACCGGGGGATGCCACACCCCCGCCAGACCCGAAAGGTCCAAATTTGTAATTGCCACAGATAGGGCTCGGCGGGGACTGTGACGACATGCCGTTGAGACTGAAGAAGCGTCTATATTTAGAAATCGACATTTCATTGGCCGAGGCATCGGCGCAACGAAGGATTGCACCGGTGCTGGCATACTCGGTCTTGCTTAACATTGGTGAGGTGTCGAGGTGAGCCGAAGTTCGGCCTGAATTCGGTTTCTTACCTATCTGGAAGCCGACCAGATTTCCAGCTGAAAGAGGGAGAAGTACACAATATATCATTGGATAGTGTCTTACAACGCTAGCGTTCATCTCATATATATGCATATGTGGATGGGCATAGCAGCGTAATACATCATTGGGATAGTGTGTTACAAAGCTAGAGTTAATCTCACATATATGCATTAAATAGTATGCAGCGCTAGACTTAATCTTATATAAGAAAGTTTTAGGGTTTCAGGGTTTATGTGGATGGGCATATCTACTTGGCAAGCAAGTGTGTAGGTATGCGCAGCGATTAAGCCGAAGTTCGGGATATGCTTCGTCCTAGAAGTGAAACAGTATGTAGGGGAAGGTTCCCAATGACATGGTCGGATAGTCTACAGGGTATATTGTGTATTCTAGTAGTCGACCAATAGAAATGTATAAAAATAGTAGTACGCCAATAGAAATGTATACAAATAGTAGTACGCCAACAGAAATGTATACAAATAATAGTAGACCAATAGATATGTATACATATAGTATTAGACCAACAGCAATGTATACATACACGTGCATGTCGATAGAACGGAACAAAATATTTGCTCAAAATGTTTGAATATAGTAACGCATTAAAAATAAATGCATATAAGGGAAGGTGAATTTATAATAGTACAACACACACACAACCCCTTACACCTACCACTCTGAGACAACGGTCTCTTCATCCCAGCCACGCTCGAAGACGTCTCCGTATCGCCCGACTGTGTAGAGAGTAAGTGTGAGAGCTGCACACTCAGACCTCCTACACTAGCACAACCGTTGACCACCCCCAGGCTATCACATACACCCACAGGCCCATCTGCATATGTAGGCTCGTCTCTCTCTTTGTCCTGACGTCCACTCGTGCGTTGCTTGGTGTGTGCGTGCGCGTAGGTCTGTGGCGGTGTGTGTGTGACACTCGGCTCTGACGTAGGCGGGTCCGTCCCGGTATCCGCCACCCCTACAAAGCGGTCCAGGTACAGACCGGATTCCTGGCTGTTTGTCCTCTCTGTCGGCATAGAGTGCGAGTGCACGAGGTCTTCCGAGTACTCAATTACGCCAAAGTTCTGCTTCGCGACTTCGGAGTCCAGAGGCGCCTCGGGCTCTGATCCAATGTGTTGTTTCTGTACACACACACACACACACACACACACACACACACACATAGAAGTAAAGA